AAGCATCAACGCTATTTATAGATGCATTAATTAAGTAAATATTGCTACAAGCCTGTTGCGAAAACGCTATTTGACAAGTTGATGGAACGGAATTATCTCAACTTGCTAAGAACCTTGCTACAAGCCTGTTGGGAAAATTTTATTTGACAAGTTGATGGAACGGCATTGTCGCTACTTGTTAACATGCTACAAGCCTGTTGTGAAAAGTCTTTTTGACAAGTTGATGGAACGGAATTTTCTCAACTTGTTAACAAGCTTGCTACAAGCCTGTTGCGAAAAGTCTATCTGACAAGTTGATGGAACGGCATTTTCACAACTTGTCAACAAGCTTGCTACAAGCCTGTTGCAAAAAGTCTTTTCACAAGTTGATGGAACGGAATTACCACAACTTGCTAACAACGTTGCTACAAGCCTGTTGCGAAAAGTCTATCTGACAAGTTGATGGAACGGAATTATCTCAACTTGTTAACAAGCTGGCTACAAGCCTGTTGCGAAAACTGTATTTAACAAGTTGATGGAACGGAATTATCTCAACTTCTTAACAAGCTTGCTACAAGCCTTTGCGAGAACTCTATTTAACAAGTTGATGGAACGGCATTTTCACAAATTGTTGACAAGCTTGCTACATGCAAGCCTGCTGCAAAAAGTCTATTTCACAAGTTGATGGAACGGAACTATCACAACATGCTAACAACGTTGCTACAAGCCTGTTGCGAAAAGTCTATCTGACAAGTTGATGGAACGGAATGAGATCAATTTGTTAACAAGCTTGCTACAAGCCTGTTGCGAAAACTGTATTTAACAAGTTGATGGAACGGAATTATCTCAACTTCTAAACAAGCTTGCTACAAGCCTTTGCGAGAACTCTATTTAACAAGTTGATGGAACGGCATTTTCACAAATTGTTAACAAGCTTGCTACATGCAAGCCGGTTGCGAAAAGTCTATTTCACAAATTGATGGAACGGAATAATCACAACTTGCTAACAACCTTGCTACAAGCCTCTTGCGAAAAGTCTATCTGACAAGTTGATGGAACGGAATTATCACAACTTGTTAACAACGTTGCTACAAGCCTGTTGCGAAAAGTCTATCTGACAAGTTGATGGAACGGAATTATCTCAACTTGTTAACAAGCTGGCTACAAGCCTGTTGCGAAAACTGTATTTAACAAGTTGATGGAACGGAATTATCTCAACTTCTTAACAAGCTTGCTACAAGCCTTTTGCGAGAACTCCATTTAACAAGTTGATGGAACGGCATTTTCACAAATTGTTAACAAGCTTGCTACATGCAAGCCTGCAGCAAAAAGTCTATTTCACAAGTTGATGGAACGGAATTATCACAACATGCTAACAACGTTGCTACAAGCCTGTTGCGAAAAGTCTATCTGACAAGTTGATGGAACGGAATTATCTCAACTTGCTAACAACCTTGCTACAAGTCTGTTGCGAAAAGTCTATCTGACAAGTTGATGGAACGGAATTATCTCAACTTGTTAACAAGCTGGCTACAAGTCTGTTGCGAAAACTGTATTTAACAAGTTGATGGAACGGAATTATCTCAACTTCTTAATTAACAAGCTTGCTACAAGCCTTTTGCGAGAACTCTATTTAACAACTTGATGGAACGGCATTTTCACAAATTGTTAACAAGCTTGCTCCAAGCCTGCTGCAAAAAGTCTTTTTCACAAGTTGATGGAACGGAATTATCACAACATGCAAACAACGTTGCTACAAGCCTGTTGCGAAAAGTCTATCTGACAAGTTGATTGAACGGAATTATCTCAACTTGCTAACAACCTTGCTACAAGCCTGTTGCGAAAAGTCTATCTGACAAGTTGAAGGAACGGAATTATCTCAACTTGTTAACCAGCTGGCTACAAGTCTGTTGCCAAAACTGTATTTAACAAATTGATGGAACGGAATTATCTCAACTTCTTAACAAGCTTGCTACAAACCTTTTGCGAGAACTCTATTTAACAACTTGATGGAACGGCATTTTCACAAATTGTTAACAAGCTTGCTACAAGCCTGCTGCAAAAAGTCTAATTCACAAGTTGATGGAACGGAATTATCACAACATGCTAAGAACGTTTCTACAAGCCTGTTGCGAAAAGTCTATCTGAGAAGTTGATGGAACGGAATTATCTCAATTTGTTAACAAGCTTCCTACTAGCCTGTTGCGAGAACTGTATTTAACAAGTTGATGCAACGGAATTATCTCAACTTGCTAACAACCTTGCTACAAGCCTGTTGCGAAAATTTTATTTGACAAGTTGATGGAACAGTATTGTCGGAACTTGTTAACAAGCTTGCTACCGAAGCCTGTTGCGAAACTTTTATTTGACAAGTTGATGGAACAGCATTGTCTCGACTTGTTAACAAGCTTGCAACAAGCTTGTTGCGAAAATTTTACTCGACAAGTTGATGGAACATCATTTTCTCAACTTGTTAACAAGTTTGCTACAAGCCTGTTGCGAAAATTATTTTTGACAAGTTGATGGACGATATTGTCACAACTTATTAACAAGCTTGCTACAAAGCTGTTGCGAAAAATCTTTCTCACAAGTTGATATATGGAACGGAATTATCTCAACTTGTTAACAAGCTTGCTACAAGCCTGTTGCGAAAACTCTTTTTGACAATTTGATGGAACGGAATTATCTCAATTTGTTAACAAGCTTGCTACAAGCCGGTTGCGAAAAGTCTATTTCACAAGTTGATGGAACGGAATTATCACAACTTGCTAACAACGTTGCTAGAAGCCTCTTGCAAAAAGTCTATTTCACAAGTAGATGGAACGGAATTATCTCAAACTTGCCGCTAACAACCTTGCTACAAGCCTGTTTCGAAAATTTTATTGACAAGTTTGATGGAAAGGTATTGTAACAACTTGTTTGCAAGCTTGCTACAAGCCTGTTACGAAAATATTATTTGACAAGTTTATGCAACAACATTGTCACAACTTGTAAACAAGTTTGCTACAAGCCTGTTGCGAAAAGTCTATTTCACAAGTTGATATATGGAACGGAATTATCTCGACTGTTAACAAGCTTGTTACAAGCCTCATGCGAAAATTTTATTTGACAAGTTGAAGGAAAGGTATTGTAACAACTTGTTAAGAAGTTTGTGTGATGTTACTCTGAGTGTATATCCTCACCGGGCAGGCTTGAAAAATATGCCTGGCCACGGCGGGATTCGAACCTACGACCTTTGGAATACTAGCCCAAGCCTGCCCGGTGTGGATATACACTCAGAGTAACATCACACAAACATCTTATTCACCTGAGTACATTACACCAACACAGCAGATTTCAACTTGTTAAGAAGCTTGCTACAAGCCTGTTGCGAAAAGTCTATTTCACAAGTTGATATATGGAACGGAATTATCTCAATTTGATAGCAAGCTCACAGGACGAAAAGCGCACCTTTAATATGCTATTAAAGTAGGATTAATGGTGTATTTTATTCGTGTTTAGTCGCACTTAATGCGTTTTATTAAAGAGATTAAAGGTGCGTTTTAACACCTTTAGTTCGTTGCATTAAGTGTATTAACGACCACATTAATACCCAGAGATTAAAGTTCAATAAAGGATACTAAGTGTGCATTTAATTCGGCCGATTAAAGACCGATAAAATGCGGTTAAAGATGTATTTAGTCGCCTTTAATATTGGTAGAATTGTTGATTAAAGACAACTTTAATCATACAAAAATGGGTTGCTTATAGGTTATTAAAGGTAAATTTAATCAGTTGATTAAAGACCGCTTAAAGCGACATAAAGAATGAATTAATCACATTTCATACATTGATTAAACTTTGTGTAAGTGCCATTTTAGTTCTATTTAGTCGCTCTATTATATTTGCAATAAGTTGCATCGCTTGTGACGTTGGGCTTTTTATTGCGCTTTTTAAATTGAAAATCTCGAATTTGTGTCATATTTTCTGACAATATACAGTATTATTCATGATTACAAAAACCCGCGGTCTTTCTTGACTCAAGGTTCATGCTTCGGTAATTATTATCAGAACATGTAAAAATCAGAGTAATCATTTGTAATGATGAAATGCAACATTAACTCAAATATACAACACGCGTTCATCTTTAAAATAAATTTATTATAACATATACATATACTACACCCGTTCATGTATGAAAATGAAACTAAAATTATATATCGAACTGAAACATTTATAATAAGCCCAGACTAATCCTTTCTCGCATAGCGTTCCCACGCACGATATTGTTATCCGTTTACAAGGAAATATAGAAAACACTATACGAAAACGGATTTGTGCGGACAAAGACCCAGTATAAAAATGGAACCTAAAATTATCACGTTTTGTGATTGGCTTTGTAAGATAAAAGTGACTAATGTTTGTGACTTGTTCTTTAGAAAATTCTTTTCAGCTGGCAAAAATTGTTGCCAATTTATGTACAATACACTGTAAATTTCAAGGAGTCTGTATAATTAACTCCAAAATGTTATTCTGTAGTCGTTTTAGACCTTTTTGGTTACAAAATAAAACATTTTGAGTTGATTGAACTCCTTGAAATTTACAGTGTACACAGCTAAATTCACTTATATTGCCCTGGAAACGGTAAAAGGCAATTAAGACTAAAACAGAGCGGGCAAAGCCAAGCGAAAATTGCAAATCCTTAAATTTTTAGCACTGGTCCTAACTGGTAGCTGTTTCAGTCATAATGTATTTCAAGTAAATAACGAGCCCGTTCCCTCTATATAGTGGCGGATTTGTGTCAACATCTGCGACTTGCGCTTGTCCATTTTCAACCTCATATGTGCCCAATCTGCATGGACAGTTGGCCGTGTTCGCTGGTTTGCCAGGTTCGATGGTTCCCCTTGCTATTATGAGTCATAACTCTCCTTAATTGATAGTCCAGGCAGAAAATCCTAGTGATTCTTTATCGATTCTTCTTTGCTTTCCCAGGCAAACTTTCGCACGTTGTACTGTTTAACCCTATAAGTTTCTTCGTCCATCTAGCTCACTTCTGTCGCCGATGACATGTACTCCATCGTGAGGCCATCTGCCACCTTTGACACTCTTTCCTGGCTCCAGTTAACTTTATTAAGATTTTTGAATGTTCTTGCCAGTTTCTAAAAATGAACACAGATAATATTAGCAACATTATATCGTATGGTAACAGCTAATTGAAAAAAGGTTATCCTTCGAAAACATTAAACTCTAAGCACGCAAAGTGAGTTGGGTTTAGGGCTTTTGATTTGGCAAATAATCCTAGTACGCTGCTATAGTTGTACATTATACTGCTTATGATCTATCTATCTTGCCATAGTTAATATTCAAAATTCGCAAGTTTTAGGCCTATATATAAGGCTAAGCAAGATAGGCCGGTAAGCAAGATCTCGCTCACACTGTGTAGTTATTTTTATAGTAAAAATTGCTGCGCATTTATATAGACAAGCGGGCTGCCAGACTGCCGAGATCTTGCTCGAAAGAGGCGAGATCTCGCTTACTGGGATGGAAATTTCTGCATATAAACATTCACGAGCGGGCTATAGGCCGTTTTCCAGGATGAAAGTTCAAATATACCGCCGCAAGCTATTTTTAACTTACTGTCAAAACAATAAAATATATCAAACAGAATAACAAAATTGTCCCGGCAAGCGGGATGAATTTTTCTCATATAAACACAAGAGAAATTCATCCCGTATCTCGTACTGTCTGCAGGACAGTCTGGCTTCTCTCTCTCTCTCTCTATATATATATATATATATATATATATGCATGAACAGGCTACGAAGGCATTACCGTATTGAGGCACTCGAATGTATGAAATTAATGGCAATTTTAAGAAGCAGGTAATAATTATAGTCATGCATATCAAATATAATATAATTTAAAGACTAATTCGGTGAATCCATTGTGCTGTATTTAGCTAAAAAATACTGGACTGACTGGACTATACAGTGCTATATGTATATGTCATTGATTTTGAAAATGATATCAAATTTGGAGCCAATATTTCAAATAAACTGTATTTTTTATTAACGGTCAAATGGACAAAGTTTTTTTTTTATATCCATATACTGTACGAAGCAATGATGCATTGTCTGACAATTGTAAACGGAAATATACACTGTATAAATAAACGTTTTACATGTACTTACATTGCAAGCCTTGCCCTTGGGCACTCTCTGTATATTTTTTCCCGTTTGTCTGAGTGTCTGACTCGTCTCCCAGAATATCGAGTAATGATATCCATCTTCTCGTTGAAATTCTTCAGCGCATTCTCACTCCCTGTACTTGTATTGGCTATTATTTTGTTCTCTAAGGAGCTTGTTTTCCTCTACGATATTTTGCAACAACAAAACATACTGGTCCAGTCATATCGAAATTACAGCTAGCAAGTATCGAACTGTGACTGTGACAGCTATAAAGGCCAGACGTTTATTGTAAAAGCAACGGGAATTGGACTTCGAACTATTGTCCACAGTAGGAAACTTTCGTAGTATCGGATTTCTTCTGTACACTAGGGAGGTCACCCATGTACAAATCAAATCCGCCTTCGTCCAAAAAGCAACGAGCAAAGTAAAAATTTGGCTTGTTAACATATTATTGAGTAATTCGCAAATTGATTCCATCCATAGTTCTTCTATAATCGTAAACGGCTTATGTTTACACCGTCAGATCGAGGTTTTATTACACAGCCTACTGGGGATTAGTTACCCGACCGGGAAAAGTTTAAAATAGCGTGCGCGGGAATATAGCATTCAAATTATACCTACATAGAACCTCGCAGCGACAGTTTAATACAACAACCTTCAATTCTGTAAAGCTTTTGGTGGTATACCTTGCGCAAAGCCGGTTGAAATGGCGCATTTTAACCAGCATTCCCACACAGCGAGTGGCGCACTTGCTACCAGTGGAATGCGCAACCTTCTGGAAGCTATAATCCCAGTGCCTCCATAAGCTGAACAGAATTGTCAATTGTCTACCTACAAAATAGGGACGTCTCAATACCAAATTACACCGAGGAACGACGTCTTAAACGCAACAGACGTAATGAAAGTTTGTGCCGAGAAAGAGTTTGGAAATGCCAAACAAAGGCGTCTCACGAGTAAAATAAAGAGTCAGATTGAGAACGAGACCAAGGCCGTATATCTCAGCTACGATCGAGGGCAGTGTATTATGACCTATTATTTTATTGGAGAAAGTGGAAATACGAAAGATCCTTGTGTACAACGACTAGCTGTGTGTAAGTACATGTAGAAATTGTATGTAGTTCATATACAAAATAAAGAAATTGTCTATCTGAAGCTGGATAGCTAAAAAATGATATAGTCAGCTTCTGTTTTAGGTATTTTGCCTTTGGCGATAAAATTATATTTGTATATTTATATATTAATATGTCAATAGAATCAACTGTCCAAGTGAATTGCGCTGTCTATTAGTCTATATAAGCGCCTAAATTCAGGTGATATAACGTATAACATTTCATGTTTATACTGTAATATTCAGCATAGCACTAATTCTGTTAAATTATCGACAGCGTGTGTCAGGTTTTGTCTTCATTTAAGATAAAACTAAACGTGATTAAATGTTATTTCTGCCTTTAGTCAACATTTAAACTGCGCATTAAAGGTAATTAAAGTATGTGCGGTTTAATGTTGGTTTTAACTCGCTTTAATATCCTCACTAAATGCAATTAAGTGTATCAGTTTCCAAAAGAGGTGTTTTATTCAGAATAAATGCGATTAAATGTAACTTTTTATTTAACCACCTTTAGTCAGCTTATTAAAGGTGTAAACACACATTTAATAGCTTTAGTATCTTTGCTAAAGCTGATTAATGACACGCTTTTCGTCCTGTGGTTGCCGATGGACGAATCTAACTTAGTTTCATTTATACATAATATATCGATTTTACTATTGTCCATAAAGATTCTTAAATCATCAATGTGAGCTAACAAACTATTTATATTTAGACAAGCAATTGCAAGACCATGGCTGAATAATCTAGTATATGGGGCTTCGGTATTAGAAATACGAGATGCGGATAAAGAATTAACTGACTCTCTTACGGCAATTTCCTAACAGGAATTAATGTACTTAGAAATGTTCTTTGCTACAATAGAAGTTCCTTTACGATTAAGGTGCAATCCCCTTGTGTTTAGACAAGACAAATTAACCGATTTATGATCAATAAATGCCCATTGATTTTTAGAGCATATTGCTTTAATAAGCTTGTTAGCTTCTGTTGCTTTTGCCGATAGTTCAGATTTATCTGATCGTGGTAATATACTAGAGATCACAATGCTGGTTGCTGGGGAATCTTCTTCGATTTGGGTTGCGAGATTTGCAATCCCTTCAGCCACTCTCTTAGCAGATAGATGTTTTAAATCGTTAGTTCCTACGTGTAGAATGACTTTATTCGGCTCCTTACGAAGGATGGGCTTCAAATAGTCTTCCATGTCTGTTATATTTGCCCCAGAGAAGCTCTTGACAACAACATGGTTGTCAGGGTTAGAAAGACGCCAGCCTTGCAGGTTCTGGACAATTGAATCTCCGGCAACAACAGTGACATTTTTCACAGAATAATTTGCATGTTTGTTATGCGTTTCTGGCACAGTATGCAAGTTATTGGTGCCACTGGTATTTGATGGAATTTGTTGAACAACGGGGTCTGTTATTGAATTGACATTTGATGGAATTTGTTGCATGACTGGTTCTGTCATTGTATTGTCATTTGATGGTATTTGTTGCATGACTGGTTCTGCTGTGGAATTATTGTTTGCTGAAATTTGTTGTAAGACTTCCGATCTAGTTGTGGAATTTGCATTTTCGGACAAATTCTTATCAAGGTTTAGACCTTTTCTCTTGCTTTTCGACTTATACTTGCGCTTCAAACTTTGTGACTCCGGGATTTTATTACTTGACAGAAAATAATCTGGGTTTTTATCAACTACCCGAATCGACTCTTCGACATCATTCATACTTAAATTATGAGATAAATCATGTTGATTAAATACGTTAGTGTCATCAGACTTCAACTGCTCCGTTACCGTTGAGTCAACATGACTTTTGTCTGCGCATTGAATAAGTCTAATAGCTGTAATCAAACTACATTTCTCGTTTTCAATGTCCTTAATACGGGTGTTAAGATCCGATACAACAAGCAACGAATTATTGAGTCTCCCAGATAGCACATCGTTATCTTTCTTAAGTTTAGTATTCTCTTCAAGCAATGCATTGACTAATCGCTCGGAGACAGGCTCAGACCGGGCCTTTAGTTCGTTCAGATCGTCAAGAACATCACTTATTTTAACATTGAGTTTCTCTTCAATATTTCTAATTTTAGTGTCTGCTAGACTAAATCCAGCTTCTACTGCTTTCGTTAAGTGCACTAAGGATGGGTCATCATTTATATTAGTTTCAGTGGGCAAGGTAAAATTAACCGCATGGACGCCTTCGCCATTGCTGCTGGTCGACAAAAGCTCATTCTCGCAGCCGTTCATAGCTACGACCGACGTGACACATGCGTTAGCTTTAAGATATTTTGATAAATACTCATGTGTGTTGTCCTTTTCGATTACCAACTTTTTTGACTTTTGCCATTT